GCAGTGTTAAGTCGCTGGGGGATATTTGTAGCAATAGCCAACAATACATTGTATGGGTCACAATTATACATTTCTCTTTTATGCCAAAAATCATTAGGATATTAAGTAAAGATCATGTTCCATGAAGATATTTAGTAAATGTCCTACCGTAAATATATCAAAACTTAATGTTTGATTAGTAATATGCATTGCTAATAACTTCATTTTAACAACTTTAAAGATGATTTTCTCAATATTTAGATTGTTTTGCACCCTCAGATTCCAGATTTTCAAATAGTTGTATCTCAGCCAAATATTGTGCTATCCTAACAAACCATACATCAATGGAAAGATTATTTATTCAGCTTTCAGATGATGCATACATCTCAATTTCGAAAAATTGACCCTTATGACAGGTTTTGTGCTCCAGAGTCACATTGATGTATTCATGTGTTTTACAGTCTCTGCTGTATAAGAAGGTCCATGAGGCTCAGTTCCGCAGTCATCTTGCCAATGAGATGATGATGTACCACATGAAGGTGTCGGAGGAGGAGGTCACTAAACTCCTGCACAGCGGCATCGAGCCGGTCCAGAAAATCCACCTGGACTTCTCTGAGTTCACGTACACGCCGCGCTCTCTGCCCGACGACAGCACTCCGATGGTACGGCACGAACACAAACCAGACCCATAACGATGCTCAGACCAGAGGTGGAAAGATATCTGAAAACCATACTTGAGTAACTTACAGTGAACATTCGTTACAAGTCACCAATTCCAAAACAACTTGAGTAAAAGTCTTAGAGTGTGTGATTTTAACAGTACTTAAGTATTTGACTTATACTAAATATAGGCTCAAAATGCACTAAATGTCAAAGAGACATGGCAGTGAGAAGCTGGAGAAAACAGGATCTATGTGCAGGTATTTAATGGAAAAAATAGAACAAACAATAAACAACAAACCAAAGGGAAAAAACAGAACGACGGGCAAACAGACAACCGTTACATTCAACAACTCACAAAGAACTTCTACGTCTGCCTCCGGTGTTTTATGGCGGTTTGGCAAGTCAACGGAACAAAAGGTGCATTACTGGCACCTACTGCTCTGGAGTGTGCATAGATTTGGAAAGGGAAAAAAACCAGATTCTATCCATTCTTCCTGTGTTTTTCAGGTATTTAAATAATATTTCATGCGCTCTTGATTGCCTTGACCTGTTTCCTAACAATACTTTTAGAGAAATATTATCAACTCCCAGCCATCCTAATTCTTAATCTTGAATTGATGACATCTTTCTTCCTATCTCCATACCATTTTGCAATTTTTATTTTAAATGTAGGAATAAACACTGCTGCTGCTGTTCGTCCAGACTCTGGCTCCTTAGACCCATCTGTAAATACCTGTAGCAATACTCTTGAATTATATATTATCGAACTACTAATACTCACAAAGAACTAAAGAAACACTAGGGTTATATATACAAGCTTAACAAGATACGAAGACACACCTAAGGGAGACGAATCCAGGGGAACCAATGAACAAACGGACTACAAACTGACTACAAACACATGGGAGACAGGAAGTGACATAAAAGTCCGAGACGAGGCACAGAGAGCATGCAACAAAAACAAGAAAGAGTTGATTTGTGAGGAGAGTTTATTATCACGT